GGGTAGGGGATGTGTAGATCAAGTGTTTACATTTAAGCATATATGTGAACAGTATTTAGATAAAGGTTGGGATGTTTTCACTGCATTTATGGAAGTACAATGGGAAGTACAATGCCTGCACTTTAAAGGAGGGGTTTGGGATACGTATTGGCAGTTTGGAGGGATATGTTGTGTATCTTTATACGTATATGCTTCTAAACTGTTGTATTCTGAGCACCTCTGCAAAAACAGTGATAATGTGTGAGTGTGGTGAAAGTGTTGAATGATGATGAAAGTATTTTCTTTTTGGGATTTTCTTTCTTTTTTGGGTCACCCTGCCTCGGTGGGAGACGGCCGACTTATTGAAAAAAAAAAAATAGAGTGGATAGGAGAGCAATATGGCAGATGTTACGAGTATATAGAATAGGAAGTAGGTTACTAAATGCTGTAAAGAGTTTTTATGAGGATAGTGAGGCTCAGGTTAGGTTGTGTAGAACAGAGAGAGATTACTTCCCAGTAAAAGTAGGTCTTAGACAGGGATGTGTAATGTCACCATGGTTGTTTAATATATTTATAGATGGGGCTGTAAAAGAAGTAAATGCTAGAGTGTTGGGGAGAGGATTGGGTTTAAATTATGGGTAATCAAATACAAAATGTTAGTTGACAGTTACTTTTTGCTTATGATACTGTGCTTATGGGAGATTCTAAAGACAAGTTGCAAAGGTTAGTGGACTAGTTTGGGAGGATGTGTAAAGGTAGAAAGTTGAAAGTGAACATAGATAAGAGTAGGGTGATGAGGGTATCAAATGATTTAGATAAAGAAATATTGGATATCACATGGAGGGAGTATGGAATTTTTGAATGTGTTCAGATATTTGGGAGTTGATGTCTCAGTGGATGGGTTTATGAAGGATGAGGTTGAACCATTGAATTGATGAAGGAAAAAAGGCGAGTCGTGCATTGAGGTAGTATATGTGGAGACAAAAAAAAAAATTATCTGTGGAGGCAAAGAAGGGAATGTATGAAAGTATAGTAGCACCAACTCTCTTATATGGGTGTGAAGCTTGGGTTGTAAATGTTGCAGCGAGGAGATGGTTAGAGGCGGTGGAGATGCCCTGTCTAAGGGCAATGTGTGGTGTAAATATTATGCAGAAAATTTGAAGTGTGGAAATTAGGAGAAAGTGTGGAGTTAATAAAAGTATTAGTCAAAGGGCTGAAGACGGGTTGTTGAGGTAGTTTGGTCATTTAGAGAATGAATCAAAGTAGAATGACATGGAGAGTGTATAAATCTGTAGGGAAAGGAAGGCGGGGTAGGGGTCATCCTCGAAAAGGTTGGAGGGACAGGGTAAAGGAGATTTTGTGGGCGAGGGGCTTGGACTTCCAGCAGGCATGCGTGAGCGTGTTAGATAGGAGTGAATGGAGACGAATGGTTTTTGGGACCTGACGAGCTGTTGGAGTGTGAGCATGGTAATATTTAGCGAAGGGATTCAAGGAAATCGGTTATTTTTATGTAGCCGGAATTGAGTACTGGAAATGGGAAGCACAATGTCTGCTCTTTAACCCATAAACGGTCCAAGCAGATCTATGTTCACATGTGTAGTGCTACAAAAGTAGATCTAAGTTTTTTTTACATATTTTCAAATATAACAAAAAAAATAAAGTAGATCAAAGTTTTTTTTTACACATTTTCAAATGTAGAAAAACAAAAAAGATCTACTTTTTTTACATACTTTCAAATGTTCAAAAAACGTATGTATACGTTTGGACCGTTTACGGGTTAAAGGAGGGGTTTGGGATATTGGCAGTTTGGAGGGGTGTGTAATAAGATGGTATATATATAATTGGAGCCTTAATACTATTGTAATCATTTCAGGTCACTTTACGTATATTGTATCTTTATATATGGTTCTTAACTGTTGTGTCTGGGTACCTCTGCTAAAACAGTGATTATGTATGAGCGAGGTGAAAGTGTTGAATGATGATGAAAGTATTTTCTTTTTGGGGATTTTCTTTCTTTTTTGGCACCTGCTTTGGTGGAGACGCTACTTGTTGGAAAAAAATTAATAATAATTAATAAAAGAAAATAAGTCCCTGAAGCATATGTAAGACAATCCATTGCTGATGTGCTGTGATAAGTGTGACATTTGATGAGCCCATTCAGGCGCAGTGATAAATGAGATAAGAGTGATATTTGATAGCACGCAGGGTGCAGTGATAAGATGAGAAAAGGAAGACATTTGATGAGCGTCGCATCTCTGTCTCTGCTTATCTCCTCTTTTCTGCTTGTCTCTCTATATCTCTGTTTGTCTCTCTATCTCTTCCCCTTCTGTTATCTTTCTGTCTGCTTGTCTCTCTATCTCTGTTTGTCTCTATTACTCTCTCTCTATTATCTTTTCTCTTATTATCTCTCTCTATTTCTCTCCTCTATTATCTCTCCTCTTTATCTCTCTCTCTATTATCTCTTTTCTATTATCTCTCTCTATTATCTCTCTTTATCTCTCTCTATATCTCTCTCTATTATCTCTCTCATTATCTCTCTTCTCAAATTATCCTCTCTCTATTATCTCTTCTCATTATCTCTCTCTCTATTTATCTCTCTCTCTATTATCTCTTCTCTATTATCTCTTCAAAAAATTCTCTCTTTATCCCCTTCTATAACTCTTCTCTATTATCTCTCTCTTTTTTAAATCTCTCTCTCCCCTCTCTCTCTCTCTCTCTTTTTTTTTTTTTTTTTTTTTTTTTTTTTTCACCAGGGTTGACAAGGTAAGGATCCCTATTTTATTTGACAAGCTATTTACAGGTTAGGTTCCCTAACTTTATTGGCAGCAAAGGGAGCTGTTACCTACTTCGCTAAATAAAAGCTTTTTTTATTGTTATGAGACATAAAAGTAGGGAACAGGTTGAAGTTGGAGCCATCTGTGGGCCAGCATTTTCATTTGATCAACTGACTTTATCTCGTTGACATCATTATGCTGTACGAATGTGTTCCATACTCGAGTCATCCTGGGGATATATGATCTCGGATGGAGTGATGTTCTGGAGAAGGGTACAGCCAGAGTGAAGTTGCTGCTTTCTGCCCATCTTGTGGCATAAAAGCTTGTTTCACGCTGTCCTCGAAGTGGATCCAAGTGTGGTACTTTGACAATATTGGCCTTGTACATATCAGTAAGGCCACCCACATCCCTCCTGTGTTGAAGGCTCTGACAGCTTTCATTTCCCACTGATGTTGGTTTTGTGGTCTCTAAACCAATCAAGATGATGCCAAAGGTGGTTGGTCTTATGCCTTCTTGTTAAGATGATGAAATTCTTCATAGTATTCTTGCCAAGAATCCTGAAATCAAGGAACTATCAGAAAGAAGCTGTGTTTTTCGAAGGCTAACGGTCCCTGGTTCCCTAGGGCCAGTACTGGGCACGCTGAACTCCACCATTGCTAGGAGAAATACCTCTTCAATCTAGCTTTTGGGGCTGTAGCTAAAATCCCTGACTCTTGGTGGAATGAGACAGGCTGGGCCTTGCACTTATTAAGTTGCCAGCTTTTATATTCCAAGAATGTGTATCCACATATGGGACAGGTCGGGGATTATTCATAAACCATTTCCCCATCGACAAAAATGCCTGCCACGTTTGCTGTGGCTAACACATTCTCCCAGAATAGTTGTCTAGATTTGACAGACATCAATGCCAAATACCCAAGAAAAGGGCAGACAATCTCAGGGTGTCCAAAACTGCTAGCCCCTCTCTAACAATATTCAGCCTCATTTGATTCACTAGATCCCTTGACAGAGGTTGTTGGCTCCTGAAATTTGAAATATAGTTATTTTAGAACAGGTGGTGTATATTTGTTGACTTGACAGGATGCAAAGTTTATGTAGGTTTTGGTTGCCTTGGGGCTAGGGCTTTCATCATATTTTGGCAAAATGTTTTCATAAGGATAATCCACCAACATGTATTTTTTTATTCTCCATGGGGAAGTGGAACAGAAGTCTTCCTCCATAAGCCATGCATGTCATAAGAGGCAACTAAAATGCCGGGAGCAAGGGGCTAGTAACCCCTTCTCCTGTATGTATTACTAAATTTAAAAGGAGGAACATTTGTTTTTCCTTTTGGGACACCCTGCCTTGGTGGGATACAGTCGGTTTGTTGACAGAAGAAAAAATGTTTTTTATGCTGGTGATCATGAGTCAAGAAATTGTTAAAATAATTCCCCCTGCTGCATCAGTTGTTCCTTCATTTTAGCTCAGACTTTCCAGAGATGGTGTCGCAGTATTACAACTTAATGGCAAATGCAAACTTTACTGCCTTGAAAAACTTCCAAGGTTGTCCTCAGGTTCCTCATAATCCTTGAAGGTAGGATTATTAAGCATCCGTTCAATAAAAAATAAAATCATGTATGTTACTGAAGTTGATATTTATGTCTGACAGAAAGAAGGCTGGAGTCTGATGTAGCAGTAGTTGCAGCTTCTCTCCTGGGCCTTTTCATTTTATTATATTCCTAGGTCAACGCTGCTCAGGGCAGTGGGGTTGCATAGATTTATTCTTCACTGTATGTCAAGTATTCATCATATTGTGACAGAGCTGAGAGCCAGAGTTTCGACACCATAGAACTGACCCAGGGGTCATTTAACATGATTTCACCTCTTGTGAAACTATTGCTGGGTAGTCAGACTAGTTAATGTGATGCAGTATGATTCACATCTCCTTTATCTTGCATTACTTCACCCTCCATGCTGCACCTCAGTTCCCCTTGCCCACCAAACTCACCTGCCCTTAACCATTTTTCCCTACTGTGATGGGATGTTTAAGTGGTACTTTGGTGTTCCTTCCTGTTGACTTAATTAGACTTATCCTGAATAAAATGTTATCTTCAGTGAAAGCTAAAACCCCAAATCTGGGGTTTTAGCTGAATACCTACTTCCTCTTCTTGCTTCACACCATCTGTAAGGCAGGGTTTATTTAGCAAATCAGATGCTAGTCAATGTAATCAGATGAATGAAATTGGCTCTTTCTTTGTCTTTGATTAGGAGATGCCCGAGGATCTGAAAATTGAAGTCCGACCATTGAGACTTCAATCTCAGCAGAGTGTGAATAATGACCAGTCAGCACGTTCCTCCCATCTGTACAGCAGCCATGAGTGAGTGAAAATAAGCTATCTTTATAAAAGTAAATTTATTCTTAATGTATGTATCCTTTTGTTTTATTTATTATTTAGTACATAATCTTTTATATTATCATTTATCCTTTAAAAAAATTTACTGATTTTTTGCTTTATTAGGTATTTTTGTGTGTAAAGTATGTTTAGCTCTGTTTAATTAGTTTATCAAAGTTATTAGTACTGTACATATTTATGAAAATTTGGAAAATATTTTCTTAAGTTTCCTTTGTTAGGTTAAACGTACATCAATTATTATTACAATATTTTATGGCTTTTATTAGCTTCTCTTGAAAAAGCCAGATTAGAGAGTGTACAGCCCAGAAGGTAACAATAATTGAGTTATGTAAAACTGCTAAATTCAAGAGACACCAACATATGCTTACTTTTGGAGTTGGTGAGAGAGTAGAGCTCACTTGAGTTATTTTAAATCAGGTTTTTTAATGTGCTTCCTGGTATTAATTCTTAATTGGCTTTAAGCTTCATAGGAAAAATGTTTTTATGCTTTAGCACATACAGTAGACTCTTGGTTTTTGCAGGGGTTACAGTGCTGGAAAATGCCACAATTTCCAAAACTGACAATACAGATTCTGTACTTGAAATTATTTGGTAATACCAAGGCTAGGCTTGTGGGACAAGTTGAGCATAAGGAAAAAATCGAAAATTTATTTTTTATTTTTTATTTCTGGTAGACTCCCCTTCCCCACTACTTTTGTACTTAGAAGCCATGATGTATTATGTTATCCAGTGGACAGATGAGGGAGGGGAAGGAGGAGGAAAAGGAGGAGCTTCAAGAGGAATATGAAGAGAGATTACTATTTTATTAAATAAAGAAACATACGTGTAGGAAATAAGATGAGGTTGGAGCCACCTGATGGGCAAGAGCTTTTGTTTTGTCAGTTGAATTAATGTGAGGACTGAATGATTGCTGATGGAGTGATGTCTTTGAGAATATAACCAGAGTAAAACTGCTGATGGTTTCCCATCAGGTAGTGCCTTGCTGTGGAAGGAGTGAATACAGCTGTGAACTTGCAAGGTTATCCATGGTGTTGCTGTAATAAAAATTCTAGTAACCAGGTTTACTAAATTCCAAAATAACAAAACCAAGGGTTTACTGTGTATGGTTTTAGCTTGTATGGCACTTTGGCTTACCTTATTTGCATTTAGAAAATTTTCAAATTGTGAAAAATATATTTGTAAAAATTCCTAAAAGAATGTACAGTAGTTAATAAATGAGTTTGCTAGGGTTAGTTAGCCAGCTCTAGCTCTTGGTTCTGTCTTTTAACTTTCAACCAACTGATGTGAAATAACTTAATTGTAGCTATGGTACTTTTGAAACTTTGTATGGAGTGTACCTCCTGTGACACTTAATTCACTCCACTTCCTTACCTCTCTTAATGCTAATGAGGTATTTTTAGATATCCTTATGATCAGTGTCTGAGCATCACTTCTTGGGCTCTGCCTCCTCATCATAGACTTTGTTGTATTTACATTTGAATTCATGTATGGAGCTTGCTCTATACCACCTTGTAACTGTCATCAAACTGAAGGTCTTCTTATGTCTCATTGACTCACTCTTGTGTTTAGTTCCCATGTGTACCACTTTGACATGACAGTTTTACAATTTCATGAAAGCAACAAATTGTAGGGGCAGCACCAAGATGGAGGCTGAAGCCTTCAAAATTCAGCCCCTACCTTGGTAGGAGATGGCCAACATGTTAAAAAGAAAAAAATGTTGCTTCTCGACAAGTCCTGTAGCCCTGTCTTTGAATCAGACTGCCACCCCCAAGCCCCTACTGTATAAAACTTTTGGAGCTACCCCTGGTACTGGAGCCTGATCTTAAATGAGTGAGGCCACTGGATTGGTCCCCAATCCAGCAACCTCCCCTTTATTTTTTCTTTACTATTTGAAACAGTTTGTACATCTACCTTCTCAATACTTCTGAAAATCTTATGTTACCAACCCATACCTTTTTTGCAAGGGATTTTGTTTTGACTGTCCCTAATTCCTCTCTCTGCACTTGCCTTGACATTAATCCCTCCAATGTTGTTAAATTTAATTTTTAAGCATTTTCTCCTTATCTCATGTCATCTATTTCTGTGATTAACCTGGTGCAAAACTTGGAAATTTCTCAAGCATTCTTGATTTTTGAGGTTTGGGTTCCATGCTGCCACTTACATTCAGTTATTTGCCTCATATGTATGGTAAATCATTCTGAAGATTCTTTGATGAGGTTCCTAAGCCCTTTTTTTTTTACATTAGTTATGTTACATATGACACTAACATTATCCTGTTTATGAGCCTCTAGTGATGACTGATGTTATGTCTACTCTCAGTTCTTTATCTTGTTTATGTGAGTCTCTGGTAATAGGTTTAGTATGTCTATTTTAAACATTTTTTGCCCTTCTTGATTTGAGTAGCTTATCTCTCATTTGGCACCATCGTACTGATTTTTCTTTCCTCCAACCTCATCACTTTACACTTTTCTAAGTTGATTTAAATAACCAGTTATCTGACCACTCACCTAAGTGACCGTATGCACAAAATTATTTGTACTGTTATTGCCTTATTAATCTTCAGTTAATCTTAAGTTTGCCCGAAATTCTCTTCATGTAAAGGGGCTTTTGGCATGTACACCCAGTTGTCATATTCCTTTGTACAAATGTGCATCATGCTGAAATAAACTTCTTATTCTTCTTATTCTTAAATTACTATATCATTGTTCACAAATCTTCATTCACATTTCCCAGCAACTTACTCCAGTTTATATAAAGAAAATATTAATGTAAAATGTAATACATATACATACAGAGAATAACAGTCAACTATTAAGTTGATAGTGAAGGAAAGGAAATACAGTGGACACCCGGTTTTTGGCCAGTGCGGAAATCGTACAATTCGGATTTCGAGCACTTTTTTTTAGTGAAATATCCCCCCAGGTTTTGTACATCTGCTCAGAAATCGACGGTACCAGACGCGTCCACCTGGGCTGCTCATACGTTCATGACTCACTCTTGGGCACGTTAAATGTCTTACTTTACATTAATATAGACATTTGCATTAATCCCTCAATAGCATGTGAACACTGCATGTTTATATGCTATCGAGGGGTGGGGTCAGGTGGAGGGTAAACATTACGTTGTCTCTGGTCCAGCTTTAGAGAAAACGTGTATGAATCTGCGTTGGCCCAGTAACCGCCCTTAACCCTTTCAGGGTCGAGAGGCCCTCTCCTAAACTCATTCTCAGGGTCAAAAATTTTTGGAAAAAAAATTATTTTTTCTTTTGAAATTATAGAGAATCTTTTCCCAATCATAATGACACCAAAAGTATGAAATTTTGTGGAAAACTTACGGAATTATGCTCTCACGAAGTTAGTGGTCTCGACATTGTTTACGCATCGGCAATTTTGCCCACTTTGAGCCCTATTTTCGGCCAATTCCAATGTACTGGTTGACGAAAATCATGTCTGTTTCACTACAACTCCATTTTTCTATTCAATGAGTACCGATTTCAACTATCCAATAAAGTGGTCAGAAATTGGCAATTTTGCCAATTTCACAGAAATTTCAGAAGATGCCAATTTCCAAATAGGGTCCAGAATAAACAAGACAGACATTCCTGGCACTAAAATAACATTTTCTCTGTTCATTAGTCATGTCCCCAGGCCCCTCTTACATCTCTTTTGCTTTCCACTTTGAATTTTTATTCTCACAAAAAAATAGAAGATTTACTGTTATGCAGACTACTGCATTAGTGTAGAAATGGTATAAATAATATCAGCGCACTTGTGAAAGAATATTAGACTCACCAGTTGACGTGTATTGGACACTTGGCATGATTTGTTTACTTTTGAACTTTGGTAAAAATCGAACATTTCTGCTACTTTGAGCTCGATTTCAAGGTACTTCTCATTATGAAACCAATCAAAATCATCTCAATTTCTGTAATATGTCTTCCATTCTATAAAATGAGACCAAGAAAACTAAAATACAACCATAAATACCATATGTAAATACACTGCAAAGTTGCTGTTTTAAACCAAAAACACAGTCGGAGTTTTTTTTTTCCTCATTATGCACTGTGTGCTGCAGGATTTTTTTTTATACTGTGCACACTGACCACATAGACCCATTCTTTCATATGTAGGCCTACCAGCTTTCTCTCATTAGATTTGAAGGCGCTAGAATTTAGGCATACTAGTACATCAATAACCCTGGTGCATAAGCCGTACTAGTACGTTGGAAACCCTGAAAGGGTTAATAGTACATGAGGCTTTTGTTTACAATTCTTGGCATGAATTATTCATTACTTCTCCCTTTGTTTATGATGGCATCTAAAGGTATTTGTTAGAAACGATTCAACTCAGTGAACATAGTATGTCAATGGTAATAATATGGCTGTAGGCTGCAATGTATGTAGCCGGTAGGTATACGCCTGGGATGTAGTCCCTCTGGGACTACGAATACATACTACTCACCTACAAGAGTCTTCTATAAAGGTATGTAATATTCATTTATCATTAAAATTAGTCATTTATATTTATTTCTCATTGTTTTCTGTATGTAAAACTATAGGTATTCTCTATAAAATGCATTTTTGGTTAATATTTTTGGGTGTCTGAAATTGATTAATTGGACTTACATTACTCAAGAAATCGTAATGACATGATTGCAAACAAACCATACCCCCGGCCGGGATTGAACCCGCGGTCATAGTGGAGTGGATTAATTACGAAAACCGGGGATCTACTGTATCTAGGAGAATACATTTGAAATTACAGGCTGCATTTACATTGAGAAATTAAATAAAATATGAACAGCCAACAGTTAAATGAAATGAAGCCCATTGAAATAACTGAAGAAGTAGAAAAGAAACCCTCAGTAGTTATTGATGAATAGCAGTAGGATCAGACGAGATAACCAGGGTTCTAAAGACATGTGCTGGAGAATTTAGCTGACTGTTCTGGCTAAGTTATGGAAAT